TATACAAAGAAAATGCTCAAGCAAATTAGCAAAAGGTTTCTGAAGGCAGAAGAATCACAAAATCAAGAATCTGTAATCAGCTGTCAGGGCTCTGAACACCTTGTTGAATTCCTGAGTTTGTTGGAATCCACAGATTCCTACTCTTTCCCCCTTTTCCCCCACAAAGGCTGGCATGGTACTGGCAGGAAGGTAGCCATCTGTAAGTACAAATGAATTTTAAGTTGTAACACAGAAAACCCTAAGCATTAATTAATTAGCATACAACTTGCCAAGCAATATTAAAATTATATTTTAAAATGATCTTACTGGTATGTTAATAAATAAAAATGTGAAATGGTGTGTAAACCACACAACAAAAATACCACTCTATGGCCAGGCACAGTGGCTCACACCTATAATCACAGCACTTTGGGAGGCCAAGGTGGGAAAATAGCTTCAGCCCAGAAGCTCAAGACTAGCCTGGACAACATAATGAGACCCCATCTCTACAAAATAAAAAATAAAAATAAATTAGCTGGGAGAGGTGTTGCACACCTGTAGTCCCAGCTACTCAGGAGGGTAAGGCAGGAGGATCACTTAAGCCCAGGAGTCTGAGGTTGCAGTGACCTATGATGAAGTCACTGTACTCTAACATGGGCAACAGGGTGAGACCCAGTTTGGAAAAAGAAACAAAAACCTGTAATTTTCATATACTAGATAAAAACTTCCCTTTTTAAAATTGAAGCTTCAAAATTTAGGAGAGTTAAATTGAACTCCTGTTACCCTTTTATCTTTATAATTTACAAATGCAGCTGACCCTTAAAAAAACACAAGCTTGAACTACATGGGTCCACTTAACCATAGATCTTTATAAATATTAATAAATATATTGGAAAATTTTGGAGATTTGCGGCAATTTGAAAAAGCTCACAAACTGTAGGCTAGAAATATCGAAAAAATTAAGAAAATGTTGGGTATGTCATGAATACATAAAACATATGTGATACAAGTCTATTTTACCATTTACTACCTTAAAACATATATAAATCCATTATAAAAAGTTAAGATTTAAGAGGCAGCTTTAAGATTGCAGACTAGAGGCACCCAGCACTTGCCTCCTCCACAGAGAAGGACCAAATCAGCCAGTACATCATCACACGTGGAATAGAGCCCGTAAGAGAAAACACTGGAATTCAGCAGGAAAGTGACAAGAAACCTCTGATACACTGAAAGAAAGGGAAACAAAGTCGCCAGCCTGGCTGGTTTCTACCTGGAGCCAGGAGAAATTCCCCAGTGCAGGGAAAAAGCAAGCAAGAGATCCCTAGTGGTCAACGTTGCCACTGCAAACTCCTACAATCCTAGCAAAAGAAGAGTTCTTTGGTTGGTGCAGGCCTGACATTACTATAGAAAGTTGCCTAGACTCCACATGACAACATTGTTCCAGTGAAGGACTTTGGACAGGGTCCCACACACCACCTGAGATGGAAGCAGCTACAGCCTGGTGCCATTTTGACAGCACAGACCCCATCAGAATACATCCTTCCATGGGACCCAACAGCCGATGTATCTCCTACATTCCCTACAGCCCCAATGACGTACCCCTAATGTTGACCCAGAGGCTGCAGTTTCACAAACTATCAGACCCAGCAGTGTGGCTGGTTCCCCAGTGTCCTACACAGTGTCCTACGCCCCAGGGAATGGGCCGTGCAGCACACTAGGGAGGCTGCACCAAAGCTCCCCAGAACCTGAAAGCCATCTGCCTAAGGCCATTGCAACTGATAGCACCTCACTCCCCCATCCCCCTCAGAAGGGGTGACACACAACTGCAAATGGTGGAAGCAGGATTGGTACCACAAAAAACATTTTCAGAGAAATGAAAAAGCAAAAAAAATCAAACAGAAATTACAGTGTATTTCCATAAAGTTACAGTGAGTGTTCTTGCTTCTCCTACCTCCCCTTCCATCTTCTCCATCTCTTCTGCCTCTGCCACCCCTGCAAGACCAACCCCTTCTCTTCCTCCATCTCCTCAGTCTATTCAATGTGAAGATGAGGAGGGTGAAGAACTTTATGATGACTCACTTCCATTTAATGAACATAAATATATTTTCTCTTCCATATGATTTTCTTAATAACATATTCTTTTCTCTAACTTTAATGTAAAAATACAGTATATAATACACATAACACATAAAATATGCATTAATCAACAGTTTATATTATCTGTGGCTTCCGGTCAACATAGGCTATCAATAGTTAAGTTTTGGGGCAGTGAAAAGGTATACATGTTTCTCAAATGGGCAGGGGGTCAGCACTCCTAACCCATACATTGTTCAAGTGTCAACTATATAAGCATAACAAAACAAAAAACCATTTACAGTACCTGTCAAAAGATCTGAACTGCACAGGCTGTTCAACAGATAGATCACCAAGAGCTCCAAGGCAGGCTGGTGGCAGAAGGGCAGGATCCACTGTGACTCCATCTGCTGGTATGTTAACCAAGCTTCGAAGAATGTCTTTCACGTTGACATTTTTTGAAACTGGAACTGATGATGCAGCTTTAGTATCCAATTCATTTCCTCTATCACTTTTGGTTTCCTGAGCTTTATTGACTTCTAAAGAAAGAGTGCATAGCACCTCACTGATTGCATCTGGGCCTGCACTGACACTAGCAGGTGCTGTATGAGGAGTTACATCCATATTGTTTCCTAAACCAGTAGCTGTTTCTTCCCCAATGCCTGAGTCCTTTCTTCGAGCAGATGATGTGCTTTCAGATTCTTCCACTGATGCAGGAGTTAAAGAGCTGCATGCTGCTGGTGTGTTTTCTATATCGTACCCAAGGACAGAAGAAATGAACAAAAAAAATTGAGAACTAATTT